AAACGCCCACACAAAAAGAGAATACACAAACTCACGTACACACATACACAGACACATACATATAGCTATAAACTAGCTTTTAGGGTGGACCACAGAGGCAAGACGCAAAATGTTTGTGACCAAAGTGCAGCAGCAATTGAAAATTAAAGAAAAAGTGTCGTAAAATGTGTAAGTACAAATAGATGTGTGCGTGTGTGTGTGTGTAAGCAGAGAGAGAGAGAGAGAGTGGGAGAACAAACAAAAGAGAACATTTAAAGCAGAGAGAGCGCAGGCTCTGCTAAGAGAACAGCGCAGTCGCAGCAGCCAGCGCTTAGCTGCAATTGCTTGCAGCTGAAACACATCTGTGTCTGTGTGTGTGTAGATTTAGAAAACCAGTATTTCTATAAAGACTAGGTACTGCGCACTCTACACCATAGTTGACTAACAGCAACAACAAAACTGGCATTAAGGTTTTTTTTATATAAGAAATACAACAACAACAACAACAAGAATTCGCAACTGGCGATTTTTCTTATATGATGTCTTAATCAGGAATTATAGAAAATGCTATGCAAAGTAAGCAATGCGCACACAGCTGCAGCTGCACACAGACTCAAGCTAGACTCTCACACATACACATACACACACAATCTTTTTTTACTCACACACACACACAGACGAACACACTCACACTGTAAGAGTGAGCGCGTGCCTGACGCTGTAATTAGCCAGAGCTTACACCATTTTATGGGGCTAGCTCTCAGTGGATGCTGATGTTGTTGTTGCTATGTCTCCACAGGTACACTATGGAATGTGGTTTTTCAAGCAACAAAACACATAAACTCACACACATACACATGCATACACACAGTTAGAGCCAGGCAGGCAAAAGCCAGCTTGGGAGACCTTTCTGTTCAGCTAGAATAGGCGCATTCACTCTCGAAATCTTTTGGACCAAGCTTTGTTTGGCCTGGCCAAAAGGCATTCAAGTGCAGCCCGCAAGCAAACAACAACAAAAAAGAAATAAAAGGTAGACAAAAGCAGGAAAAACAAGAAAAGCAATAAAAAGTTATTTTTTTCTTTAACGTTTTAAATACTTAGGGAAATTATGACAAAGTTGTACCAAACATGTTTTTTTTACAAACATATTATTTTTTTCTTTTTTTGCAAATGTAATTTGATTTTTAAACAGATTATTTAACAATTAAAAAAGTTGCTTTATTCGATTAAGTCCATAAAGGGAACAAAGAATAGTTCAAATAGAAAAGACAGATATGGACAACAAAGCATGCTCTATATATGGAAAGCATTTTTCTCAAGCCTATTGAAGACAATCCTAGGCAAACAGGCATTTCTATTTTTGCCTTTTCATTTCTAAAAAATTTTAAATACTATACGATTTATAGTTGTATACATATATTTTATATACATTTTGTTAAGTTAATTCTGTTTAATATATGAGAAATTTAAATCTAAAGAAATATAATGGCATAAATTTAGCATCATAATTTAACCAGTATTAATTTAATATCCCAAGGAATTTTAACATTCATTTACTGTTAAGCTACATTCGCTGTAATGTAATGCTCTTTTCAGCTCTGTTAACAATAACAGAGCTTTGCAAATGCGCCTCCGGCATGTTAAATTTTTGCTTTGGATATTTTATTTGCACTTTTTCCCACTTAAAAATTTCCCTATTGTGACATCTGCTGGCCATTCAAGCGCAATCTTAGGCAAATGACTGTTAAATAAACTTCCTTAACAACACTTTTATTTAACAATACCGCCAATTGTCCTCGAACAGCAATGTCTCCCCCTCTTTGTTAGTTTTTGTGCTACAAATTGCCTTGATTCGGTACATAGTTTTGTATGTTTATCCAACTTGAGTTGCACGTGCGGCTCAGCTCGGCTCGGCTTGACATTTATTTGCATATTTGTTGCAGCTGTGCTTATTTACAACCACAACGAATCGTCATAAAAAAGAACTGAAAGCGAGTTTGTAGTGGTGCAAAATATAACAATATCTCATATAGTGGGCAACTAGAAGTTCAACAGAAATGGTAAATTGGACAAAAAAAAAATTCAAACAATTGGCCATAGTGTCTGGCGTATGTGAATTCCCCAAGGGTAGAAAAAAAAAATAAGTGAGGCTTATCGGGTCAATATTATTGCTCGATTTCTTATCTAACCAAAAAAAAAAAAGAGCGAATTAAATCATTATAATATTGTGCGCCACACATCCATACACACACACATACACACTCGTATGTGGCTAAAGCCATTAGCATAAGGGCAACTCGCGATAGCCGCAAAAAAAAAAAACAAATATTTGTTCAATTGCAAAGATGGGGACTACATTTATTAATTTGCAGATACAAGATCAGTGAATATCGACAACGACCACATGGGACACGAGTGCAGTGAGAGGAGTAGGCGGAGTGAGGACTGTGCAGCTTGGCAGCAGAAAATTGTTAACTTATTTGCCCGCCAAATGCAAATATTTGCGCCAAAGTATTGAACAAACAAATGTTTTGCTCAACAATACAAACAAAAAAAAAAAATAAATGAGAAAAAAAAACACACGCGCAATATGCTTCTTTTTTTTTTGTCTAAAAAAAAAGGGGTATAGAGGGGCATATTAAATAGATTCTAGGAAAAAAATTATAGCTAGAAAAAAAAAGAGAAGGAAAAGAAAGATTAACATTGTGATTTATAGAAAATAAATAAAAATTAAAAAAAAACTGAAGATTTTAGATATTTATGAATATATTTGAAACAATTTTTTATTCAATAATTAAAATACAAATATATATATATATAAATTCAGAATAAAAGCTCACGTAAAATCATTGAAAATACACAAACAGAAGCTCTATAAATTTATCATAAAACATTTTAAATATCAGCTATATATTGCATAATTTTTGTTTTGCATAATAACTTGATCTAAGCAATAAAATAGCTTAAAATATCATAAAACATGAGAAACACTATAAAGAATAGTCTCTGATAAAGACTCAGCGAATGTTTATGGCTGCGCATGAGTAGCGTATGAAAACAGCTTCAGATACGAGTTTAGAGACAGCTAATAAACATATTACAAAAGTGACAAAAATGGTTATAAATATGTTTACAGATATTTGACTAAATGAACTGAAAAGACTTGAAGTCATTTTGGGCTCTGGCAATAAACATTTGTTATGTACGTTAACATATTGAGCTGCCCTCGACTGTTGACTGTTATGGGTTCTCATTAATTTTCAAGCTGGGCGAAAAGCAAATGCGATACTCGCGAATCGCGAATCGCGTATTGTGAATTGTGAGTTGAGAATTGTGAATTGCGATACTTGCGATGTCAACAAATTGAGTCGCCATCTTAGCTGGAAATTGTGTCGCTCACTCGATCGTCGTTGTTGCTGTTGTTGTTGTTGCTGTTGTTGCTGACAAAGAGAAATGGCTAATATACTTGAAAATGCAACAACAATAAGAACAACAACAAAGTTGTCAATGAGTCTTATGCACAAAAAACAGAGCTAAATACAAAGAAAGAAAAAAACGATTTCTGTTTGTTTGTAATTTTCGAGTTGGTTACGAAATGCGCCCCAAAACAGTAGAAATTCTTAAGAGGGTTTTGTGTTTGTAGAACGGATTGATAATAAAACAACAATAATAAGCTAGTGGCTGGGGGTGGGGCAGCGGCGGCTGGGTCGAGCGCCCAAGTCAAGAGAGCAGCGGCCTCAACTGGGCACAGGTAAATGCTAAAGGTACGAAATGCCAACAAAAGCAGCCCAAAAAGTGGAACCCAAACTGTAACCGAAATCAAACATTGGTTGCAATGCAGCACGTACGATAAGATAAGCATAGCTGCATATAAACCATATAAACACACACACACACACACTCACACCTTCAGATACTGATACAGATACAGATACAACTGTGGCTATAGCTACAGCTACAGCTACGTACTTAGCTGCAAGTAAATACAAGTATTTTTTGGGTATTTGTCGCTGTTATTGTTGTTGTTGTTGTTGTGTTTTTGAAGTGGATTTATTCGGGCCAAATGCCTTGATATGATTATGATATATGGGCACGCAAATCTACATAAACACCAGACAATCAAACAATCATGATGGATGCACATGTGTGCATACATGACTGATGATCTGTGAGCGAGAGTGAGAGACAAAGCTGAAGACGACGATTGTCATAAAACAGGTTCAACTTGTCGCTTTGTCTTCTTATTGTTGCTATTGTTGTTATTGTAGTTCTACGAAAAGCCAAGAACGCATTCAATTAAAAGTGAGAAAAAAAAATCAATTTGAAATATCCATAGCCGACCTTGGAATAAGTTGTCTCTTTTCTAACAACAATGATAGACTACGACAAAAGTTTCCGCGTTGAAATGCCTAGAAATGCCGGGTAAACTATTTTCTTAACCATGTCTAGGCAAGACTTTAACTAATACTTGGATTCATACAGTGAAATGTTAAGAAAAATATATCAAAAAGCAAAGTGGGCCCCTAAACGTTTGTTTGTCTACTTTAAGTCTTGATGTGAAATTTCAATTTTCACGTTATTTCTGTTCCGAGAAATATCACGTATGGTTTACAAGTAAATGTATTAGCTACAGCTCTACCTTATTTACTTGATTTTTATATATGTATACATATATATTATTTATATTCGCCATATTGTATTTTGCACAATTCCACTTAATTGATATGATAAAGTTATAATGGATAAAGCAACAGTTATGCGAAATAAGTATCAATAAGCATGTATAAATATATTTGTAAGTAATTCCGGGCTTTTGCCCACAGGCTTTTAGGCAACAGTCATCAAATATTTGTCTAACTATAAATAGCATAGCAGTGCTCAAATCCTCAATTGGTTTGCTATATATTCCTAGAGGATCAACCATAACAGCAATGCAATTAACAGCGTAATGTTAACGTGGCTTTAGCATGCCTTCATAGACATGCTATAATTCTGTTCTCGTATCATTATTTGACACTTTTTTTTGCCCTTGGGGAATGTGTCCTTGTTGTTGTCGCCGATGGAGCTGCCGCTAGCGATGAGCGCAGCGCTGCTCGCTGCCGCTGCCGCCGCTGCAGCCCGCTCGTGATTGCCACTGCCTCCGCCGCGATTGCGTGCACGGCTGGCATTGCTGCGATAGGCATCCTGATGGCGCTGCTTGCTGTTCTGGCGGGCATAGCGATCCCTGGCCGCCAGGACGGGCCACATGCAGATGCAGTGGACCAGCAGCAGCAGCAGCAATGGCAAGTAGAAGCTGCTGCCGCGGCGCCTGAACAATTTGAAGATGCGCATCTCACGGGCAACTTATTTGCGGATTGAGTCTATGACGTCTGTGACGTCATGAGTGTGTGTCTATGACAGATTCTGAAACGGGCCACAACACTTGCAGCGTTCTGGCTGCTTTCCGTCTTCTGCTTGACACTTTCAGCTCGGTTTTGAGCGTGTTGTTTTTCGCGTTGTCAGCTCAAAAGATATCGACGAAAAAACAACCAACAACAAAAAAAAAAAACCAACAAAAAAAAAAAAAACAGGCCAACAATTTTTTTTGCTACGTTTTGCGTGCCAAAAACGACAACAAATTTTAACCAACTCTCTCACTTTTTTTTTTTGCTGTTGTTGTGGTCGCTGCAATTGGTGTGTGCGTATGTGTGTGCTTGTATTTTTTTTGGTATTTGTATTTGTATCTGCTGCTGCTTGTTTTTTTTTTTTGTTTAGCTTTTTTTTTTTATAGGAACCAGTTTCACATTACGAAGGCTTTCGTTGTTGTTTTTGTTGCTGGTAGCTTTTCAGTTCTCTTTTTCGAGTTCGACTCAGCACAGCTTTCGATGTCTGTGGCCGTGCCTGTGTGCGTGTGTATGAATGTATGTGTGTATATACGTATGTATTTTGAGGTTAGGGAGCGCGCGCAGGCGCAGCCTGTTTAAAAGCTAAATGCAATAGCGTTAACAGTTGTTTTTGCTGATATTCCTTTTGTTGTTTTGGGCCATCTCACTGCTCTCACACACACACTTATACAGCTGCAGCTGCACTTTATTTTCTTTTTATTTTTTATGTTTTGTCCCTGTCTCACCAATTAGCAATGGAATCACTATTTTTTTTCGTTATATATCACTTTGCTGCTGCTGCTTCTTCTTCTCAATGCTAAACAAGAGCTTCGCAGTGGCTTAACTCCACTCTCTATTTGTGTGTTATTTTATGGCCAAGTATTATATTCGATTAGCACTAAATTAGCGGCAAGTCGCGACAGAGAGAAAGAGAGAGAGAGACAGAACGAGAGGGCAACCGAGATACGATCTGAAGCGTTTGTCGAGTAAAGCGTTCGTCGCCTGGACTTGTCGGCAATTTGCGTCTGCGCAGAGTCACGTTAAAGTCGAAACTGAAGCCGAATCCGACATCACGATATGCACAGCACAGAGCGAACACCAACTTACACCAATACACCAACACACATGCACAGTCAGTTGAGCTCACGGCGAGTTAGGTAAAGAGCGTACGTCTATAAAAGACAACAGGTAAACGGCGCTGGTAAAAGGTGAGCGGCGAAGATCTCTTGGCGCAGATCAGGCCAACAAACAACATACGAAACTAAAGCAAAGCAACTGCCTGTTGCTGCTTGTGCAGCTGCTCAATAGATTCGTACACACTGAGAGCAAAAGAGGGAGAGAGACAGTCGAACTGGCAGCAGGAGACATAGGGGTCTCTGTATGCATGTAGAGCTAGTGCAGGCGCAGGTAAACCAAAATGCTACGTAAGGCACTTATAATTTTTTTTCTTTTCAAAAAGTCAGCCAAGTAATATGAAACTATGAGAATTTCAATTCGCTCCACAATTGCAATAGAATACCCTACACTTAACAAACTTAAAATGATACCAAATCGAACGAAATGTAACCGAAGATTGTGTTCTGATATGATTGAATAACAGCTGGAAGATATTCATATGTCATGTGAATCTAAGTATAAAAGATATATAAGTTATATATAGGATTATATAGAATATAT